CACACACTCTCAGGCTGAGCCTCACTAATGTCATTACTTGTGGGAGACCTCCTGAACGTTTCATTGGTGCAGACTGAGGTATAGATTTCAGCTGCAGGCCTCAGTTTGTATTTACTGGTTATTTAATTACAAATCACATTCATCAGAGTTTCCATGTGTTGGATTAATCAGTCCAGGGCAGCGTGATCGATCCACACACAGGCTGGGAACAAAACTCTGCACAAACACATGAGCGAGAGAGAGATGCTCTGTATTTTTAACTCAAATATCATGAAATAGTACATGCATCAAATTTTAATCCTCAGATTAAATGATTGCACGCATGTCCAACACTTACTGTACCCCTCAAAACAAAGAGCTTGGATCTGAGCAGGACTATTTTTTATCAGAAATCTGGGTTCTTTGGACTGGCAAAAATATCAAGCAAGTTTTCACAGAACAATATGTGACTTTTCATTTTAAGGTGGAACATTATTAGCTATGTGGATATTTGAAATTTGTCATTAACCCCAGTGATAAGATGTGATCTCTGAGTCTCTCTGTTGCCCATGTTTTGTCTCTGCCATCAGTTCGTTCATTTTATTCCTAATATGGACTCCGTGCCTTTTTTGTGTTCTGGAGGTTATCAAACATGCGAATGTCTCGCCGTTTCTCATAAAGAAGCTCAAATAAAAGATGTTCAGATATTCTCTGAGAGATCAGCGTGAACCGGTCCTGACCACGCAGGTCGCGCTTCTCCTCTCATTTCCTGTGCAGGCGTGATGAAGATAAGGATACAGTAATGACAGGAAGCCAGCGGGCATGGCGATCGGTCGATTAGACTCCGCAAAAAGAAGCTCCCAGTTGGAAATGTGGAATTCTGACAAAGGGTTAAACAACTACCCTGTCATGCTGCCCGAATATCTGATCGATGTGGCAAATCCAGACACTCATGTGAATTATGAAGGCCTAATTTGGTAACGAGGGTAATCCATTATTAAAATGAGCTTCATTTTTCAAATCTCCCCACCCCTCACAAATTAACCAACAGCACTGCCATCCATCTGACTGGCCGGAGGAGTCAGTGGGGCATAGCTTGTCTTTTATTTATTAATTAATTAATTTTATCATCTGTTCTCTTTTAAATGAAAAGTTTGGTCAGAGTTTCCGTTACAGTGAAGTTCAGTGAGTAAACAATGATAACTGAGCATGAGAACTTTGTGTTTCTATATTTCATGGTTTTAAAACACTGAAAAACTGAAAAATCAGCTTGTCAGTGTATCATCAAAACACATTTGAATGGGATATTTGAGTCTTTAAAATGTCTTTAATCATTCTACATACAAACCCTTCTGCTTCTCAGAGCAGGTTGATGTCTAACCACACTTTTTTAGGCTGTGGCTGCGATGGCTCTTTGTCTCTAATTGCTGCTGGTACCAAGACTGTCTTAGTACCCATTGCATTGGGCATTGCATTTAAATGCACTGGAGAAGCATTTTTTCAACATGGAGTCAACATAATAAATGAGTGAAATGAAATTAAACAAGTGAAAACAAAGCGAATGAAAGTCTGAAACACAGACGTCGACTGTCCTGCGAACTGGCTTCTTATAATTCTACCAAATGCATACAGAACTACAATGCAACACAAAACAAACGAAATTATTTTAACATGATTTTTATATAACAAATTAAATGACTAAAGCTCTGCTGTGCTTTTAGGTTAACCCATAATCTTTTCTGCAAAAGATGTATTATCCATCATAAATTTGATAGTGTATGTTGCAAGTGACCACCATATCTGGACGCTGCTGGTTGTCCAAATTTAGATCTCTGATGTCGTATCATTCAGTTTCTATTCATTTTTTATGTATTTAAATAATTACTCTATAAATAATTGGATGTATTCTTTCCTCTAACAATGAAATGTTTTATTTTTGTGCTACTAGGTGTAACACAAACCCAGACCAGGATCAGTTTCCTTCCAGTGAAAGTCGTAGTTGCTCACCAAGTATTCCAGAGTCTGACAAATCTTTTTAAAAGGCTTTTTCAGTCAGATTTACCTGATTTGCAAATGGATCTCTTTGAAATTCTTTTTTTCCTGGATTCAACCTGAAAATGTTGCAGGATGATGGTTATTGAAAATGCCTTGCTCTTCGTTTTTTAGGATTTCATATTTTTTATTTTTCAGGATTAAGGCCAGGTGCTTAAAAGAGGGTTCGATTATCAGGACAGAGTTTGAGGAATCAGAGTATTTTGTAAAGTTTAGCACTTAGTTTGACATGACGGTTCCTAATGATTATTAAGTAGAGCCGCTTGATGATGATTTTTAGGTCTACTGATCTATTTAGAGAAACATATATTTTCAGTAGAGCAGGTTTCCGTATGTTTCCTGGAGAAAAAAGAAGTTTTACTGGAGTTGCTTTATGGAAAAATGTCTTTTACTCTAATTTTAGCTTGCCGTCAACATTAGTTATTCTCCAGATAGCCTCAAAAACCCTTTTTATTTATTTATTTAATAAAGACCAAAAAAAGATATTGATCTATTTACAGCAAAACAAAAGAAAATCTGTCAACCATTTCTGTACAGGACAAGTTATTGTTGTTCATTCATTTTCACCAGGAGCAATAATTTTGGTTTTTCTTTTGCTCTTAGTTAATTTATGGTTAATTTTTATGCCTTATAAAATTCTCCCACCACACAGAACAAATCATTGTTCCAGTTGGGCAGAGGGCTGCAGAGGCACTTAAAGATAAAAATGACAAATACTGCAGAAAATACAACAAAGACATCTACTCTCCATTTCATTTCAGTTTCCATTTCAGCCTCTTCTGAGGTTTTCATTCCCAGCTGCTAATTACTCCTTGTAAAAGCTCTCTGCTTGTAATGACGAGCATCTCTCTCTCTGCTGTTATCTGTCCACATACAGCTGAGACATTTATCCACTTCATTCCTTAATCAGCTTCAGCCAAATCTATTAAATCAATCAAATCTTATCTGCAGAGACTCTCTGCTGTCCACTGTTTGCCTTTTGGGTAGCTAGTTTATGCTGATGAAGCCGTGCTGCAACCATCACGCTCCATATCTCTGCCCCTTCCAACCCAGAGCTTTTGTACGTTACAGCTCCTGTGGCACAAAGACTTGAGTCTGGGAAATAGTGAAGTAATGAGTGATTGAATGCACATTGCAAGGACTGAGGGCGTTAGAGCACTTAGCCTCAAACTACCTATCTTTGTCTGCAGAGGAAATCTGTGAGCTTGCCTCTAATGGATTGTTGGAGGTGGTGAAGGTGGAGCAGGGAGATGGATGAGAAGCAAAGGAAAGGAAAGGAAAGGACTGCAGTGACGGTAATGGAACGACAGACTGAAACGCAGAGAGAGAAATGAGCAAAATACAAGAGTCGGGCTAAATGCATTCTTTGAAGTGGTTAAAAGGGCAAAGGGAAATGCTCTGCCTCTCTGGGAAATTATTTTAACGATCCCGCGAGGCTGCGGAGATGATGATGAGGAAGACAAAGAGAGCATCCTTGACACAGATTATATTCACCATGCACAGTCTTATCAAAACACCTTAAACTTTTAATCGTGCTAATGGTGGCAGGTGGAAACATCACTTGGCTGTTCCTGCATTTGATCCAGAAAGGTAGTCATAGTTAGTTTGACTTGAAAGACTGTGATTAAGAAACTATAACCATAAAACATCATTATTAGACTCAGCTGTACTTTGTGTTTATTGACACTTACCATTGAGTTGGTGAACATATTTTCTGGTAAACAGCTTCAAGTAAGTGTTGTAACCCATGTTGCATGGATACAGATAACTGTCAGCGAATGAGCCTACTGAACACATTGGGAGCAAAAAACAATAAAAGAACTTCACTCTGTTCCATCAGTACTATAAAAAATCACAATGAGACATGAAATGTCCGGTGCTTGGACATCACCTCAAAAATAATCTGAAGCGAGAATACAGCTGCATACTGTTTTTTTAAATAACTGGAGCTCTGCTGCATAACAGATTGTCCTTTTGCAAATGAACAAAGAAGCAAACCTCATGCGATAAATACTCTGTTTAAAGGATCTGAAAACTACTGAGCTATTTCTAAGGTGAAGGCAAAAACCAAGGTCGTCTGATTCATGAGCTGTACATGCTCACACATGGTGTAACTGAGTGTTTTATCACAATGAAAGCTCCACAGCACACACTCTGACCTTAACCCACCTCCTCAGCAAGTTACAGGGAACATTTCACAGCCTGCCCCTCCCACCAGCTGAGCGCTAATTTGTCATCTGCAGGTTTGCTGCCACCACACAGCGCTGCAGGGCAATTAGGGCCACTGCATGAGTCTGCTGAGGAGCGACAGGAGCAGCTGCCCCTAGGCTCACAAACCCAGGAGAGAACCACAGAGTCTTTAAAGCCACGTTTCTTCTGAGTAATTTACTCAGAATTGGTCTCTTTAGACTCTTGTGCAAGAGAGGTACTAACTCGGGTTTTTACTGCATTATAACAATAAATAACTGCAATATATCTGTGATAGATTATAGAGTTTGTAATTGATGATGATGGATAAAATCAATATTTAATGACCCCATCTGCTTCCAAACAGGCCACTTACAGACCTTGTAGATTGTATTTGTATTTATGAACATATCGAGGACCGCAAGAAGACTATGTTCCAATGATTAACCTGAGCAGCCTGAGCAGTAAGACATATTCAGCTTGTGAGGCTTAAGAAAGGCACTAGGCTGGAAAACCAGGCTGCCAGCCAGACTGTCCTCTCACCAGTCCCTGAGAGGCAGATCGATACTCAGATGAAGTTTTCTCTCTGCTGGACAATCCATAATTTGTACACTCTCAGGTGGTCCTGTATTTACTATCGATCAGACGGAGGTAACAACAGCAATATCGATAGACCGGAGGGAGTGGCTTTCACATCTGAAAGGCAACTCCAGTGACAAATGTAAGTAAGAGTGAGTGTGTGGGAAACGTATCCAAGAATGTGGAGGAGGCAGATTAAAGACTTCCTTCAGTGGTTTAAGTTTTAATCTCTTTATGATATAAACCAAAAAATGTATTTGTAACACAGAAAATGCCAATGAATGAATCTGAATGAATCAATGTTTTCAGAAAAAAAAATTGTTTACTGCTCTGGGAACTTCTCAGCTTGCTTTAGTTTTTTAGATTTCTGAGAATTGATTGTATCTGACTGTAACCGTCACCGATAACACCACTCTACTATTGTAAGTGTTAACCTTAGACTTTTAATGAAAAGCATGCAAGGTTCCGACCCTGTACTGGGATGTGTACCTAATTATTCTGTAATCAGAGGTTGTTAGCATTTTTGTTTGATAAATGATGTTAAATATTTGATTTGATTTCATTCAGATTTTTTTCTAATTGATCAATATTTTCATTTGTAAGTATAAAAAGGCCCAAAGTCTATCTCCTTCATAATAATAAAGTCTCATTTTTTCACCACACGCTGTGCCCAGAAACTTTGAAAACTTACGTTCAGTCTGAATTATGTTTAGTAGCAGAATGCGGAGGTACAGATAGAGATAACAGATGGCCACAGCAGATGGAAGAATGTGTCTTCCTCTGTCTCAGTGTTTCTTTGAAGCTCTTCCAGCTGGCTGTTCTTCTTCCGTCTTGTTTCCAACGGACCTTGAAGCTCCTGGGTGAACCTGTTCACCACCTAATCCTCAGAAATGCAAACACACAGTATTTTAATAGTTGACTAAAAAAAAAAGTGTTTTGTTTTTACTATATTTATTATTTTATCGTATTTATTATTATTACTGTATCTCTTATATTTCTATTGTTCAGCACTTTGGTCAGCCTTGTGTGTTTTTAAAGTGCTATGTAAATAAACGATGGTGATGATGATGATGATGATAACCATGACAGAAGCAGGTGTCAGGTACATGTTATCTTTTGAATCGGTCTGCGTCATAGCAGCCACAAATGTATTATTAGACTTCTTCTTAAGTGAAATTATTGCTGCAACTTATTTTTCTTTTTCTTATTTGTTCGGTTTTGGAAACATTTAACATCTGGATTTAAAAAAATAATAACGATGAAGGAACTTACAGTATTTCTATGTTTTCTGTCCAGGGGCCACCAAAGACATGGGTAAGATGTTAGGCGGGGAGGAGGAGAAGGACCCGGATGCAGCCAAGAAGGAGGAGGAGCGACAGGAGGCGCTGAGGCAGCAGGAGGAGGAGAGGAAGGCAAAACACGCCCGCATGGAGGCAGAGAGGGAAAAAGTACGGCAGACCATCAGGGACAAGGTTAGTGTTGGGGTCGTTACACATTACTTGTTACTTTTCTCAAAAGTAATGCACAAGCTGGAGAAACTGCTACACTACTGTATGCTACTTGAGCTGCAACACACAGAAATTACTTAGTTACCAGCTAACAATATAAACCTGAGGCTACAGTCCAGCACGCCAACACACCCGAGCCTAATGAGGACGCACATGCAATTTTTGTGTTAGAGTTTAAATGTGAACACAACAACACAAAGAAAAGTTCAAAGAGATGATTCCACTTTAGAAACACAGACTTGTTTGATACTTTCTGTCACAGTCAGCTTCCGACTCCTTGGACAGAGGAGGAGGACCCAAACGCAGACACGCAAAATGAAAACTTGATTCTTAACCAAAAGTTAGCTGTTTATTGTGGCTGAAGTACGAAACAAAAGGCAAAACCAATTCAACGCTAAACAAAAACCTATACTGGGAAGACTGGAAAGAAAAGAAGAAATTTTATATCGCTACGTGTTACTTTACTGCGTTCCTGAAAAACGTAATGTTATTACAGTAGCGCATTACTTTGTAACATGTTACACCCCAGACTGGCACTGATGCTGCATGTCATTTTAGGTCTGATTACAGAGGTGGGTCTCACTCGTCATTTAATGACCCTTTATTTTTTCCCTGCACATCACCGGTGTTCCTCCTTCATCCAGTATGGGTTAAAAAAGAAGGAAGAGAAGGAGGCAGAGGAAAAAGCGGCCATGGAGCAAGCCTGCGAGGGATCGCTGACACGCCCGAAGAAAGCGATTCCGCGAGGCTGCGGAGATGATGATGAGGAAGACGAAGAGAGCATCCTTGACACCGTCCTCAAGTTTCTGCCTGGACCTCTACAGGACATGTTCAAGAAGTAAAACTAAAAAACACAAAACAAATCAAATGAACCCTAAAATCAGGGTCCGGTCTGGCATGGGTGAGGCTGCGGGGCAGAGGGAGGAAGGGTTCTTTGGGTTAACTGAAAAGAGACTGAGGAAATTATTTGTTGGGGTTTGAGTGTAGATTCGGGGCATGTTGAGGTTCTTGGGATCACAATGAATTTGGGGAAGGGGGGGGGGTGTCCTCGTCAAACTGTTAGAGGCTACACACTGCCTTTGTAGAGAACCTTTACTTTGCTTTTTCTACTCTTTGATGACAGTGTCATTCTTCCTCTTTTCTTTACCGCAGTAGTTGTAAAACTTTCACATTTCTTACACCTGAGTTGTTTTGCACTTGTTCACGCCCATTAAGAACAGACGGAGCATGGCCATCGTGGAGAACAGCATTGGACGACAGTGGATTCGTGTCTGCTTACTTTTGTGTTTAAATGGCACTTCCACCGCGTTTTCCAGTTGATGGAGCATGTTCTGTTTAAATCAATGGGTGTTTTCGACTTTTACAAACCTCGTGTAGACCTTTATAGTACAAGAAATCAACAATTGAGTTTTTAGGACACGTGCCTTCATATCATCTCCTCTAGCAAAGGAATTGTAAATGAGGGTTTCATTTTGAGTCAATGCTGTTGGTAGCATGTAGGCACTCGTTCAAAGATACAAGACTGGACAATTTTGGAATAACGTATTTGATATTAGGATTTCTAGTGGGCATATATGGTTGATGATGGTGCCAATGTTCAAAGCATCCAAACTTGTGGAAATGCCAGAATAAATCCAAAACATTAAAATATGATTTGTAATTCCTTTTAAGATCAAAAGCTTCCAAAAAAAAAAAACGGTCTGCGAAAAATAGGATAAAAAAAGAGATCCCTTCTGCTTCCACCTCTAGTTTTACAAGAGCTTTTCTAATCTGGTCAGCTGATTAGACTGCGACTACGTTTTGACAGAAGAGAAACTTTACAGCTTAAACATTTTAAAAACTCATGTCAACGTGTGAATTTTCATTCATCATAAGCTAACAGACCAAGTTGTCATCATTTAGGTGGTGTGGGTGCCATAGACAATCAGAGCATTGACCAATGGGATACTGGGGGTTGCTGGTACATGCTTTCATCTCCACTAGCAACGGGTTGATTTGGTTATTAAGCACTTGATTAACTTATTGGTGTTTTTCACACTTTCATTAACGTGCTGAAATTGAAATTGACTTCACATCCCACCTGAGCTAACCTTTTCCTTCATCTTTTAATGTACAAATCTACCTTGACTGTCACTCATCGACATCCAGACCAAAGAAATGCTGGTAAGACCTTATTTCTTTCGTCATAAACAAAGACATGCATGTGTAACTTTTATTTTCAATCAAACGTGCCAGGCCTGCAGAAGACACACAGCAAGCTCGTTCAGCGCGTGCATGCATCCCAGGGACCGCCGCTAAGCTAAAACCGATGCTCTGTTTCTTCCTCAAAGGTATTCCATAATTAATAGGTAATGTTACCGTAGACTGAGCCTGGGATAACTGGTCTGTGAGTTGTTGTGTCTCACTGCCTAAAGAGCCTACTAATATTCTGCATCCTGCATCAGTTAATCCAACTAATATCATAGTGATTTGTCATGTTCAAATAGGTGTACTGTAGATGAAAACAAAATCTATTCACTATGTGGACATTAATCAATAAAACAAAGCATGTTGGTTATTCTTAAAAGACCCAATGACGTTTCAGTGGTTAGTGATGGAACAATGTACTGTCCGTACATTGTTCCAGGAGTCTGTGACTTAGAACAACTTTAGGGATTATTAGGACCATTGATAAAGTTGGCATAAACACCATAAAACACCTTTTTCAGTTTTTTTATTATTATTATTTTTCTAGCTCAGATAGGAATTTTCACTAGACAAAGCCATACTGTTTAGATTGCAATAAAAATTCTATAAAGAGAATATTTCAAGTTCAATGTCTCATGTTTGTTTTCCCGTAAAAAAAGAAAAGAAGCGAAAAAAAGGAATAAATTTGTTTGTAAATCCTTACCATTCTTGTATCTTTAAACATGTAGACAAAGAAAATGTATGTAGAAAAAAAGCCATTGTTCTGTCTCAGTGTGCAACACGTGTACTGTAAGTGTGTGTGTGTTTAGATGTGTGCGTCTTTCTATGTGTCTGTGATGTGAGATCATGTTGTTGATCCATATAGTCCTGGTTTATACCGTGTAAGTGTGTCTTTGAGCTATTTTTGTGCCATGTCTAAAAAGAAGAATACTTAACACATTCCTTTCAGATGTTGAGCATGCAATGTTTGGTAGAGAATACACCAAATTAACCCAAATATGAAAAAATAAACAACTCCCCGTTTCTGTAGGAGTCTCCAGGCAACAGAATCTGTGCATTGTATCCAGAGAGATTGAACTGGAGAGTGTTGGAGATTATTAGCTGTCAGTAAAGACGTGGTCAAAGAAAAACACACAAAAAATAGAAACTGTATTTTATTTTAAGAAAATGTACCACAGGGGCATTGAAACAACATTTATGTATAAAATAGGATTCTTTGAGTCTCCTATTTAAAAACTGCTCTAAAACTAAACTTTCACAGCCCATTACACAGCCATGCCATAACATGTTTAAGTGGGATGAAGTTCAGAGTTTATTCCCAGCTGTTCATCGGCTGGACAGCTTTCCTGCAAATACACTGGATTTGTCAGATACGTGTGCGTGTTCTCCTCTTTGTCAGCCCGTAACTGGGGACGTGTTTAGGCATGCCAAAAATGCCACTGTCATATTACTACAAATCAAGCTTACAGGACAAATAAAAATATTTGTATTCAAATTGGCACGTGCATGTGTGGCATATCTTCTACTACTGTGGGTCATGCATTCAGCCGGTGTTTTCCAGAAAACACAAAGTAGGGCAAATCATTTGCCTGGTTAAGTCATTTAAACTTGTGCCAGCAAGAGTGAAAAAAAAAATCTTTGACTTCAGCTTAAAGAAATCAGTCCTGAGATAAATTTAAGTGGACTTGCAATGACCTCAAAAAAAAATCTTGGACTGGGGATCATTCTAGAGGATGGTTGGTAGTGCAGTGGGCTTCAGTTAGGTGGCATGAGGAACATCATCTTGATAGTTTTGATTATTTACATTAAAAAATGATTCCCACATCACCCAAAGCCAGGCCATGTGCACCTCTGCGAGAACAGAGTAAGCCCCCCACCATAGCGGGTAGAATTATGGACATGGCTTTGGTTACTGGCCCTTCATGGAAACTACAGCCATACATCCTCTGTATGTAAAATAGTCTCTCAGCGGGACTCGTTTCGAGGCATCACAGCATGTGAATTGCCTTTGAAAAGGGCTATTGCCATGTCATCTTTACGTCAGGTAAGCGGTAACTCATCTGTCGCACCTGTGCGTGTCCGTGCGTGATGTGCAGCTGTTTGAACTCATTCTGGTTGCATGATATACACTTGTTTGTGGAGCTGTTCAGTTTAACAAAATCCTTGGTTTCATAGATGAAAGTGTAAAAGCGAAGAGTTTTTTTTTTCTTTATTATACACAGAATAATCCAGATTTTTTTTTTTTTTTTTACAGGGAATACTTAAAAAGTTATGGTAAAATAGAAATAAATGTAGGTGAATGAGAGCAATGAAAATTATACATGAAAGGTCTCAGATGCTTTAAAAAGTCCATCAAGTCCTGGCTGATATTTCTCTGAAACATCTTAACTCAGATGGAACTGTTTTTATCGGAGACTGCGTCTGAAGACCTGGATGATCAAATTCTGTTGTCAGGAGCCCAGAAACATTAGATATACATAATAGGCTTGGAACTGCCATTTAAAACCACAGTCCACCACCCCTACACCCCCGTGTTTGGTGATTTCTCGTGACTATTAGAAAATGACAGCACAAAGAATCCATACCGACAGAGTCCAAAAGACATGCCATAGATGTTTACATCCTAAATACAACTTTATTAAGTGTAATGAATGATAGAGATGGAGAGAATATCTTAGAATTAACCTAAACTTTATTGTTCAATCAACTCCGAGGCTGGACTTTGTGAAAGATGTCATAACATTTGTCTTGTTTGTAACATTTTCACATAAGCTTATGCATATGAACTGCCCTGCTGAATCCTGCCAGTGACTGTAGAAATGAAAGTGAATGTGTTGTACTTAATACTTAGTCACCGAGTTTACTTGTGAACTGGTGAACTCTCATTAGCTGTAACTGTGAACAGAAATACATTCCTGACTTTTTTGGCATTTGCACTAGGATAAGTTGAAATGTTATACTGGCAACTGCTATGGCATCTACTTTCCATGACAGTTTACTTTACCTTCCTGCCAGCCTTCTGAATGCTACATTAGAAGGGCTCTAGTGATATTCGCCAGGTTATTGATTATGTGACCTTGTTCTGGTCACCACTCATGCTGTCTTTACTGTCTGAGAAGCAGACTCCATCTGGGGAGAGAATGGCGTGATGATCACCGGAAACTGCTGATAAGAAAATTTGTAAGGAAGTGAAAAAAACCGTTTTTAAAAAAATCTCCAAAAGTCTAAACGAGAGGGTTTTTATTTTTAATTCAGGTTGAATAATGACTCATTTCAGGGGGCAGAGGTTAAGAATGTAAAATATGAGTTCTTATGTTGTTGTTTTTTTTCTTTAATTGCATGTCATATACTCTTATGTGGAGCCCGATCACTGTAAAACTGTCATCTATGGAACGGAAACATCCTTTTTGGAAATTTAATGCATAAGACTAATAAAAACAAAGGTTTATTAAAAAAAACTTGTCTTTAGTCCTGTCTTGCTTGTGACCATTTCAGTAACCTATTAAATCTGTTGTTTTTTCATTTTATTTTCTAATATTGATGACCATAAAGAACTGTGTGCAGTGACCATACAAATAAGACTGAGTAGAAATGCAGTGCATTGGGTTCGGCACACACACACACACACACACACACACACACACACACACACACACACACATATATATGTATATATATATATATATATATATATATATATATTAGGGTGCAACGATATTCGTATCGATATTGAACCGTTCGATACAGTGCTTTCGGTTCGGTACGCATATGTATCGAACAATACAACATTTGTAATTTATTTTATCAACTTTCCTTCTGACGATGCTGTCTGTGTTGAGCGCTCAGTGAATCTGTGTTCGACTACTCCGCCTAGGCTGCACTGTCGAGCGCAGATCCACTGAGTGCTCCACACAGACAGCATAGTCAGAGGGAAGAGCGCAGGGCACCTCCCCCACCCTCATTCAGATCTGGCGTTTGGAATTATTTTGGTTTTCATGTGACGTATGA